ACTCTAACTTGGCGACACTTCTACATCTCTTCTAAGCCACCAAAATTTGGAACAAAACTCACCAAAATCAACATCAAACCTGGCCAGGATTTACACTTCATAAATTCTACTCCAATTCTTCTATAATTCATCCAAACTCTCATCAAACATCAAGTACACAAACACTACTTCTCATGGATAAATTCTAACCGTCATCCAACATCCATTCCATCAACAATTCTTCATATATAAGCACATACATGCATAAAAGAAGTTCTCTACGCAATATTGCTCCAATCATGACTAGGTTTGGATTTACGTACCTTAGATGTGAGCAATCCAACACTTTAGTAGTCTTCCTTGATCCAACTCTCTTTTTCTTAAACCCTATGAACACAAATCATAAGAATTCAACACTTTAAAACTTAAATCTCACATCTTAGTGCAAGGATCTTACCTAAGGATGTTTGGGATTGAAATTCCACTAAAAATGAACCAAGATCTATGAATTTCCTTGAAAAATGATTGAAGAAATTTGAGAGAACTTCGGTGGAAAGTGGTGTGAATGGAAGGGGAAGAATGGCTAGGGTTTCATTCTTGAACTCTTAATATAACAAAATATTACCAATAGTTTCCCATTTTACCGTTGCATTTTCTATGAAATTTCATCTATGTCCCTTAGTCAATTACCATAATGCCCTCATTTTTATCAACTTCTCCATGTTATTCAACTTCTCCATGTTATTCTACTTCTTTTCACTCCCCACTTTTTCAACTAATTATGGGTGAAAAGACCATTTTACCCCTCATAAAGTTTTAAGGACGTTTCTTCACACTTGTTCAAGATAACTTTAACAAAATTCAACTAAGGGTATTAGGGTATAAGCTACATACCTCGATATGGGCATTATAGTGTGTAATTGAGTATATACTTTATCTGGCATGACGGCATTAACGTGGTTTCATTGTTTTTGAAATAGGCTTATGAAGATTTGTTAGAAATCAGAGAACGTTGGCTTGTTTCAGAAAATGTGATCTCATATTTGAAAAAAGAAAATGAAGACGTGATTTTCGAGGTTCGCAGATTGGAAGAACAGTTAAAGATATCGAAGGAGGCATTTGAAAAGGTCAAAACCGAATTGAAACACTGTCAAGAATCATTTAAAATGCTGAACAGTCTTTTGCAAATGAGCGGTAGCAAAAGGAAGTCTTTAAAAAGAAAAGTAATGAATTGTTTGAAGAAAATAACATCAAATCTTTACTTGCAAAAGCTGAGAAAAATATAGAAGAGGCTTATGATTTGGTGTCAGAAATATTTTTGGCCACCAGAAAAGCTTGTGTCAGAGAATTTAAGGTCAGATTTCCAAATGAAGATTCTAGTTTTTTTAGAGACAATTGTGTTGAAAAATGAGAAGATGCCGCCTAATAGAGGTTAAATTGACTGCAATGTTGTTGTACTTTTTTCTGGTCTACTTAATGCCACTTCTATAAATATTTAAACTGTTTGATTGTAATACTAACATTAAATATTTTGACAATATTTGCCACGCAAGTGTTTATAGTTGTGTTATTATTACGAATGTGGATGTATTTAGTTGATGCTAATTTTTGTGTATGTTAAAATAAATATGCAGCCTATGTAATGTTACTTCTGTAAATATTTAAACTATTTAATTATAATATTAATGTTAAATATCTTGATGATGTTTGTCATGCAAGAGTTTGTGGTTGGGTTATTATTACAAATGTGGACGTATTTAATTTATGCTAATTTTGCATATGTAAAAAATATGTATTTATAACACATAATACATATAATGTAGCATTCATTATATCTAACAATAACAATATAAACGTATAAATATCTTTGTATCAAGCAATTTATGTTTTTGTATATATTTAAACATTTAATGTGACCTTTTCATATTCATATAAATATCTTTAATTTTTCACATTAATTTCTCATAAACAATGTCTTATATTATATACAATGCATCAATCCTTTCTGTTATAAACAATGATTTATATTATATACAACATATCAATCCCTTCAGTTAAATACTTCTTTGAAAACAATATTTGTCAATGTTTTTGCCGGTTCATGTTGTCCCAAGGCTAGCAGAATCTTGATACCTTGTCTTGAAATTACTCTCGATAGTGCAACGTACAATTGACCATGTGTAAAGACTTGATGTTTCATATACAATCCTACTATTTTGAGTGATTGACCCTGGCTTTTGTTTATTGTCATACAGAAGCTAACTGTCTTCTCTTCAACTTGAAAGTCCACTTCATATCTGCATTTGACATTATTATTCTGGGAATTGTAACAATATCACCAATATTTGACCCAGTAATAATCATTGCTTGTATGGACCACTTTCCTAAATGGGTTATAATCAATCTGGTTCCATTGCAAAGACCATCAAATTGATTCAAATTAATTGGAATGCCAATTTTCAAATGCAATTCATATTTGGGCATGCCAGAGCACATAAGAGAATTAAGAAATTCGGTCGGATAGAGAATGTCATCATCGTTTGAGATACCTACTGCTTTGCAAGTGTTGTCTGAGCTAAAATATGTCTTTCCATATGTTGGCAAACTCTGGGTGATATAGTCGTTCAATCTATGTATTGTCTCATTTTTGGGTGTCAATACTACTCTCTCTCTCTCATATAGTCAATATTATTTATCTAAGCAGAGATAAATCTAGAAAAACAGCATTCATAATTTTCTTCCTGACTGGTATGTTGATCGATTTTCAAGTTTTCAGGTATTTGGATGTAACTCTCAACGTCCTTTCCTTCTCCAATATCAAGTAACCATTTGTCAAAACCCTTCAAGTTATCCAATTCTGTTGGGTTTACCAAGTGTGTCTTCAATCTCATGTTCTCTACAAGTGTCAACATTGTTACATGTTTTCAAAGGGAAGATAATGATAAACAGGCATGTATTATGTCATGTTTTCTCCCTTTTGGTATAACGGGTAGAATCTGTCTGAAATCACCACCCAGGCCAATAGTAAGGCCTCCAAATATTCGGTTTGCATTTGATTGATCTTTTTTAGAAAAAAATATTGTCACGCCCCACTTAAGGTATGTAGTTAAATTATTGTTGCATTGCTTGAATGTTTATTGATTTGTTCTCATTTGAGCTTGCATGTTGTTATTTTTGGTTGGTTGGCTGTAACGCCCACATGGAGGTACGTAATTTAATTTATGTTCTTATGGCTTTAGTTGATTTTTGCTAAGGTTATTTTAAGGAAAATGTGAAGAAAATGCCTTAAATTAAGGGTAAAATGGTCTTTTCACTCAAAATTAGTTGAAATTGTGGGGAGTGAAAAGAGAGAGAATTTCATGGAGAATGCAATACAAATGAGGGCATTATGGTAATTGAATAAGAGACATAGATGAAATTTTAAAGAAAGTGCAAGGGAAAAATGGGAAACTATATATAATATTTATGTTATATCAAATTGAAGAGTGAAACCCTAGCCACTCTTACCCATATGCACGCCACTTTCACCTCCATATTCTCTCAAATTCTTCAATTCTTCTTCAAAGGAAATTCAAAGGTTTTGGGTGTTTTTTAGTGGATTTTCAATCTTAAGCTTCTATAGGTAAGATCCTTGCACTAAGAAGTGAATTTTAGTTTTTAAAGTGTTGATTTTGATGGTTTTTGCTCATAGGATTTAAGAGGAAGAGAGTTTGATCAAAGGAGATTCTTAAGGGGTTGAATTTTTTCATATCAAAGGTAAGTAAATCCTACCCTAAGTGTGATTTAAGTTATGTTGTGTAGAGAATTTTCTTTGTGCATGTATGAGTATGATTATGTGTTACCTTGGGATGTGTTTGTAGATGGTAGATGATAAGAATGCAATATGTCAAATTTACCCCCCTTAATGTCTAGTCTTTTATACTTATTTTCTGCTTAAATATACTCATTATTATTCTATTTTGATTTAGGAAGCAAATGGAGGTGTTAATTGCAAAACGGAACTAATTAGGTGAATTCGGATAGTTTCGACACTGCTTCGTAATCTGGGCATAACTCTCTCATCCGAGCTCCGATTGAGATGATTCAAAATTTTGTGGAACCATAAGAAATAGATATACAACTTTCATGTTTTGAGTTTGGAGAGATACTAGTTTCATCAAGGTTGTAATCGGGCTTGAAGTTGACGCACCTGCACTGCCGACGTCCTGGAGCATTCTGCCTTATCATGCAAATCAATTGGGCAGTTTATTATTGGAAGATTTGAAGACATGTGGCACGCAAGTTACATCTCAGAATCACCACTTTCCTATTTTATTTTAGGACTTTATCTTATTTTCAATTAATTAGAATCAAATTAGGATTAATGTTATTTTAGGATATTAGAATATTTCTTTTAGGAGATTTAGTGGGATTCAAATACTTGAACTGGATTTTTGTTAAAGAGATCATATTAGGGTTTTTGAAAAAAAAACACACCACGCCTCTCTCTTCTCTTCTCTGGAATTTTTCTTTCTTTTGAGTTTTGTTTATGGCCATGAGCAGCTAAAACTTTTGTAACTTGGTCGAAGGAAACGGAGGCCTCGGAATCAATAAACTGTGAAATCTAATCTATTTTTCTTAGTGTTCAATTTTCATGTTTGAGTATTGGATGTTTTTCTGTGCCTAACTTTATGATTGTTTCGTTTAATTACTAGAAGGCCTACTAGTTTATTAATTGTTGCAATCTACTGCTAAGTTAGATATCAAATCCGTAATTGTTTGATCCCTCTAACTTGTGAAGCAATTAGGGTTAATAATTTGCTGCATTAGGAATTAGTAATCTTAAGAAGAACANATAACCACTACCATCTATTTATTTCCCTTTGTCTAGACTGTGAGTATTTCCCTAGTAGTTATGAAAAGCATGGTTAAGGTAATAAATAATCACAAAGCCATCTCTAGTCATTTGTGTGAAGACAAAGTGTAGACCAACCGACTTCTTCTAGGTAATAATTAAAAAAATGAGGCTAACATGTAATCATTGAAACAAAGATCACTAACCAAAGGTCGCCATAGTTGATGTGTACATCCTGTTCGAGATACACATCTATAACTATCTGCCAAGAAGGAAGCACATGAGAGTGATACCAACAAAAAAACAAATCCTTTTCTTCACATTTTCTTATTCCTCTAAATTTAAAGAAAGCAACAAACTTAAGCTATAAAAAGTTACTTTAAGTAAACACATGTGCCAAAAAATTAAAATGCTGATTTAATCCAAATAAACCAAAACTAGAAATGGTAGACATACGTACCTTTGGAGAGCTCTTTGACCATCCATGCTCCTGCTCTCAAAAGCCTAGGAATTAACATCACTGTTGCAGCCCGATAATTCCTATTTTATATGGATATATCAACAATTAACTACACATCCAAAGCTGGTAGTAAAAATAAAATCAAAGTACTATAATATGTCAAATTAAATGAGGCTTCTTATATAGAAATGAAGCATCTATCGTCTGAACTAAATCCCTTTTATGATGAGTGAAGAGGTACCAAAAAGAGATTATGGGATCCATAACAAAGGTAGAACTAACATAATGGACTCCCCAGCTAAGGGTGTCAGCCGAGCCGAGCCACTCGCAAGCAGCTCCAGCTTCAGCGACTTACCTGCTGAGTCGAGGCGAGTTCAAGCTCCCAGATACTCGGCTCAACCAGCTTCCAACCTTTAGTAAGCTCGAATCTTGAAAGGGGATATATACTAGTTTTGCAACTATTATGGGGTATACGTAGTTTACCAGTTTGTAAAAATGACAAACACACCCCATATTCCCAAATATGTAAAAATCGAATTCAATGAATTTAATTATATTCATAATTAATGCACATTGTTAGAATATGAGCAATGCTTTCATACTGTGAGAGAGTGTAAAGAAGTATGCACATTGTTAGAGTATGACTGCCACACCCCAATAAAGCTCTGCTTCTTCAATAACCAACAATAATGTCCCACAGTATTCAAATCAAACATAACATAAATAACTAAACCAAACAGAAGAAGCAAAAGTCTGGGTCATACCCCTTCTAGTACTTCATTAGTTCTTTTAATGAATCTTAAAGAAGAAAATCAAATTACTCAGCAAATACAAACCACAACCAAATAAATTATGCACACAGAAATACACAGAAAAAATTGTAACACTTGCAAACTGCATAAGTGCATTATCACCCAAAAATTTGCTCAGCCGAACCGAAACATGCAAGACAAGGTTTAGCATAAGCTTTAGAAGATTCGATATGCAAAGAAATTGAAACTAACCTGATTCGCTGAACGAAGTCTAATACTCTGATTCGCTCGGTGTTTTCTGTTTCGAACTTTCGATTTGACTGAACCCTTCGCTAAAATAAAGGAAATGGAAGTGTGATTCGATGATTGAAGATTGACTTTGCACAGTGTCGAGATTGGATTTGCTGACCCTAGAAGAAGAACGACTGAATTAGAATTAGGCCTTTAGGCCTTACCCGGTAGGGAAAAAAATCGGCTCAACCTTTTTCTATTTCAGTCGCCCGGTCCGGTCGGACCGGAGGTTCGATACTGTTTTCTCTGTCCAACAGCGGATCATTCCGAGTTAATTGCGTAAATCGGGTTATACTCGGTCCGGACCAGTGAAGGCTCCGGTTCTCGATTCGATCGGTTGAACGCGCTAATTAATTTAGATGATTTTGATGCATGGGTTTGGAAAGGAAAGCATGTTTTTATCTATATTTACTATTATTGGACAAAAATGCTTTTTTCTTCTTATTCTTCCCAACTATTTTAAATTCACTTCTTTCCAAGTTGTTTCTTTTCCCCATATATTTATTATTCTACATATTTAATTGTTTATAGTTCATAAAACTTTTCATATACTTAACAACTAGATATGGGGTCCGTGTATTGTACGAGTATATTTATTTAATATTTTTAAAATAGGTTATAAACAAATTTATTCTAATAAAGTAATTAGATTAAGAGATAATAATTTTCAAATTATACACTTTTAGAGTAAATATAAATTCTATATCTGTACATAATTGTGTTAAGATAAAATTAATTACTGTATCTTTATAATTATTAATATTAATTATAGACAAATGTTATTAAATCATTCATGCAACTTAAGAAGACTACATAATATTATATTGTGTAATTGTACAATTGATATTATTTTTATAAACACGTCTTTGATATTTGATATTAGTATTTTGTAGTGAATTGTATGTGATATTTAATATCATGTGAATATTATCAAGATTAATTATTTAAACTTAAAATTTATATTGAGCTTTCGCAATTTCTGTAAGTTATATTCATTTTCAAGTTTGACATTGACTGGTAATTTTTTTTTTCTCATAGTATAGGATTCATATATTTCTTTAAAATCAGTAATCCTCAGCCAAGGTTTGAAAACAAATGTTTGTTCACATAGTTCATTCAAAGGTTTTGTTTGTTTTATAGTTGAGAGCATGATAACTCATTTAATTTCTGGGTTAATAATTGTAGAACTACAAAACAGAATATGAAGAGATTAACTTCCATCTTTATACGTTTTTATTCAAAATAGTTAGATTTTTGGAATGCCTATGTAATGTACTTATATAATTATTATTAATACTAATCCAATGTGTGAGGATGGAAGAATTAAATCAAAACCAGCATGTCACGATGAAGAATTTTTAGTAGATTCATTAAACAGTAAATGCAATGAGTCAATTAAAGGAACAATTGTATATTCACAAAATGAGTACTAAATTTCAATCAATTAATGAGTAACATTAAAATCAAGATAAAGTTGAACATAGAGAATAATATTTTTATTATAAAAGAAATTAGTACATCGGTTTTTCATACTGTGAAGTGGGTTTGGATGATGTAGATGATGTTTATTTTCTATTTCTCTTATAGTTATTTAGTTCCTCTAGTGCAAATGCATACTCTCTTTTGTTTATGTTATAGATAATATCCATAGCAGATTGCATGATTTCTAACATCTGGTCAATGTCTTCTCTGAATTTGTTTCTAGCAGTATGTAGATCATCCAGATTGGTGTCAACTTTTTTGAGAATTTCCCTCAATTCTGGCATTCCTTGAAAAATGTCTAAACCAATTGTAGAAACAATATACAATCAAATTTTATAAATATATGGAAACAGTAACATGAGCCTGTAAATATAATTATGAAATGAACTCTCGACATATCAATTTTTTTTTTTTAATGGTTTTTATATTCCTGCAAATATGTATTATCATTTTGTTTGACATTTTGTAATTTAGGATACAAAAGATGTGGAACATTCATACCTTCTAGTTGCCTTGGTGGAGAATTATTGTTGTTGAGGTCGTTGTTGATATTCGTTGCAAATTCTTTTCGTTGTGATGCTTTGTCGACCATTTTCGAATTAAGTTGTGGAGAAGAAATGAACAATTAAAGCGTATAGTATTTGAAGAAAGTTAAATGGGTGATTGATGTCAGAGTAATATTTATAGGAGAATAGGATGCGAAGATGTGGAATCCGAATAGACAACTGGTAATAAATAAACGTGTCGATCGAAAAATTGATAATAATTGTTTGGATAAGGTAATACAAAACGTTAGTAGACTATTTGTACAATATTAAAGAAAACTATAATAAATATTTTGTTAAGTATGCAAGTCAGAAACATCATGATGATATTATAACATATTAGTTAGATAGTTAATGATGGTTCAACGAGATATTATAATAAATAAACACTGTGATTTATTAATAATAAAATCTTATTGATACATTTTTAAAGGAAACGTAATAAATATTATGTTAAGTATATAAGTCAGAAATGATATGCTGATGTCATAATATATTTATTAATTTTTTAATTGTGGTTCGGCAATATGGTTATGAAACATGCATATAGTTTGGCTTGGGTCTTGTTTAATCAATAATGCTAAAAAAGTTTTTTTTTTTTTTTTTAAATTTGTAATAGAAATGGTTATTTATAGTTTTTTTTAATTAAGATTATAATATATTTAGATTGATGTTTGTTGAATATCTTTAATTTTTTAACATTTTCATAAACAGTTTTGTCTAATATTGTTATTAAATATCTATTAAAATATTAAATATTGTTTATGTTTTATCTAGTATTTTAGTCTTGCAATTAAAATTTTGTTACTTCACATTAGAATATATCTTGATTTGTTTTATCTAAATAGAAATAGGAAACAAACAGACGAAATAATTTGAACTAATCTTTTATGCAAGGATTTTTGTCATAGTGTAAGATTCTGATGGTTCCTTCATATCCATAATCCTCATATTGATTTTGAAAATGTATGTCTATCTATACAGTTCTTCAAAGTTTTTGGGATTATTTTCTCATCATTGCCTTGTTTGTTTAGCAGTTGAGAACATGACAACCCAATCGATTTCTAGGGTACTGTATCAAACAATATAAAAATTGATCCGGGAAAATGAACAGACATCTAGTAACAGATAAACACGTTGATTGAAAAAGTGTTAACAACTTATTCGGTAAGGGGATATGAAATAGTACAAACTGTTTGCACTGCATTAAAGGAAAGAGTAATAAATAGTTAACAATGGTTCGGCAGGCGGGTTTCCAAAATATGTTGTGGTTTGGCGTGGAATTTAATCTAATCAATAATGGAATGAATTTTTTTTTTTTGATATGTTATAGGAATGGTATTTAGATTGCTGTTTGTCGAACATGTTTAATTATTTGAGATTCTCATAATCATTGGTGTTTAACATTTTTATTAAATATTGTTTACGTTTTACCGATCATTGTAATTTTGTGATCAATTTTTCTTTATAAGTTATTAAATATTTGGATCAATCGTAGATAATTGTGTGAGTTTTAACTTTTATTTTCAGATTAAACTAAAAAGCATTTACAAACTAAAAAGCATTTACATTTTTACATGTGCAAGAAATTACATAAGAAACTTACTAAAAATTAATTTTCATACAAACTATTTGGTAATCCATGTTACATCTACGACATGTGATATTTTCTAGTGACATTGATCTGTCCTAGTGTATACAATTTTGTTCTCTTTGTTCCAAGTCCCAAATATTCGTCTTTTAATGAGAATTGTGGCAATTGGAGTCAGGGACTTGAATTCTTCCTTGCAATATTTCAGTTTGCAGAAACGATTAAGTAGTTTTACTAATTTCATTAGAATTTGTATACCTCTGTTGTCATGTATAGTAAGCAGAGCAACGACAGTGTGATATATTGTTTGCATGTTATATTTTTGGCAAACTGCAATTAGTAGTTGTAATCCCATATGTGTATTATGTTTGATGAAGAACAAATGTGTTCCGAGCAGTAGCAAAGCTTGTTTATTTTATGCTTCTGCAAGTGTCTTCAGAATTGAAAGTCCCGTTGTTGTTATTGTTGGCAATTTGTGTTGTTGTTTCGAGATGTCCCTTCTTTGTAATATTTGCTTTATGTTTGCTTGTTTGTTCAGAGATTTGCACCTGTAAATTGTACTGTAAATAATGGTTTTGAAGCACAGATTCGCAATAATTAAAAAAAAAAAAAAATCCATAGTTGGGAATCATAATACCATTACGTGTATGATTAGGGAATTAAGAATAAATAAGTGTGCCAAATATGACTCAGTTAAATATGGATTCTAAAATGCATTTTGGTTTTTGAGTATTAGAAAACTATTAACAACTAAAGATACATATGGTTCAGCATAACCATTTGTATGGTTAACCATTATCATTATAAGACACTTGCCGAACAAACCATTATCCTATTGTTATTAGTTGTATGTTTAACCATTTTGTATAAATATCATTTTCTGTATGACCAAGAAAATAATGAAATCAATAAATTAATGAAATACGATGGTTTTAGTAAAACTTACGTTAACTGTATTGCTTGTAAAGCGGTGTCGTCTTTGTCAATTGCTTTTACAATGATTCGTTGTAGAATTTCTGATGGTAATTGTAACACATCTATGGGTTGTTTTTTTTGTTCTTTTGTAAGGAATCATGATGTTTTGGTGCTGTTTTTTTGGGTGCAAGTATATGGATATTATGTTGTCGATAAGGTATTTGTGGTTTATACAATTTGCGTGTGGGTAGCGAATAGTTTTTTTTTTTTTTTTTTTTTTTTTTTTTTTTTTTTTTTTTTTTTACTTCTTAGTTAGTGTTCAGTTAATTATTAATGGGAGTTAGTGTTGTTATCTGAATCTGGGTTTTAATAGTTTTGTAAATTAATGATGTTTGTATTAATCATTTAATGTTAAGTATTAATTAAATTTAAATGTAAACGGTCCACATTTAGCTAAATTTCTATATAGGTATATTAAACGTTTGATACATTTGATTAGTATGAATTTTTAAAGTAGTGGGAAATGGATCGTGTTTCATCCAAATAAATATTTGCTTTTATGAATTCCATTAATATCGTATAAATATCTACATAAACAATATCATTTATTTGATCAACACTTTAACAAAAGCAGTACATTAAGAACG